AAAAACCCCACATACAAAATCATCCAGAACTGAGTTTCTGTACCAAAAAAAAAAAAAAAAAAAAAGAATTTGGAGTCAGTGAGACTGATGGTTGAGTAAAGGCTTTCCTCAAAGAAGACCTTGTCTTTTCCCCAGTTGAGCAAAGAGGAGTTTTGTCCTTGGCTGCAGTACATACCTCTACCAAATGATTTAAGATTTAAGCAGAACAGCAACAGTCTGGGTAGTATGTTAGGAGCATGGAGTGGGCACACTGCCTGTAACTGTTTAGTTTTTTTAAAAACTCATTATTAAGCAAATGTGTAGAGTATTAAGGAAATTTGTAGAGTATGTCTGACCGTATGAGTGTGTGGGTGCTGTGCTGTGGTAAAAAGAGACTAATTGGTTTATGCAGTTTGTTTTGCATACTTTAGGCTCCTGTATGGGGTTTTTTAATTGATATTTATTTCTCAGCAGAGCTTAGAATAATTTTAAAGCTGTGTAACACATCATTTAATGAAATCTATTGTCAGCATCTGTTGTAAACATGTGTTTACAAAACAAACTCTTGAATACTTGATATTTGGAAATAAAAAATAGCATATCATGTGTGTTTTATTTCTGACAAAAAAAGCGGAAGTGCTGAAAAAGGTACGTGGGTCGCTGTGCAATCATTCTGGATCAGGTGATGAAGTATTTGGTCTTTTAGTGCATAGCCAGGCAAAACCAAATCTTTCCACTGAATTCAGTGACCACTGAATCACAACTAAGTATTGATCATGCAGAAATAAACTGTAAAATTCTACAGTTTCCTCTAGCATTAAATTTGATTAATACTAGTTATATGCTAAAAAATACAAATGTGTTTGAAATACATATTGTCAGTAGAGTATGAGTCTATGTGCATCTATGCTGCTCAATAAAAGAGGGCCAGAGCACGAACCCAAGGACTGAACTCCTGATGTCCACACTGCTTAGTGCTTTAGTTCACTCCTTGGCTCTGATTTGGACCACGCCAACAAACTACATCCGTGTGGTTTGTGGGGAACAGCTATGCCGCAGAGAGCTCCCGCATGTCCGAAGTGGCTGAGCCGGGTTTGGTTCCCCTCTATTCCTGCAGCCACCGAAAACCACAGGCTGTGTCCGTCAGGGACCCCCGCGTCCTCATGCAACACCACAGGGGCTGCAGCACACACCACAGTACCACGCCGTAAGTGGTTGCAACACAAGTCTTGTGTTACCACAGGCATTTAAAAATGCAAAGAAATGCAAATTATATTTTGGGTCCACAGGAACATCAGCACGGAGGCAAGGGGAGATCCAGGGCTAAGTGCTACGTACTGTGGATGGGGCCAACCTGATCCAGCAGTGTGGATGTGACTTTGTTCATGCAATTTGGGTTTGAAGCTAGATTTTCTGCTCTCTGGATTCACTTTTATTTAAAAGTATAGGTATATCCATGGACAGAAATTCTGTCCCAAGGCAGCCTGGTCTTTCAAGATGAAAAGAACAGAAGGTTGACGTTGAATATATTTTTCTAGACATTTCATTATTGACCCTTTATACTGAAAGCCTTTTGACCTGTAGTGCATCTTTTATAACTGGATGAGCTGTGGCTTGTTTCTATGAAACTTCCTCACTGCTTGGTGTAGTGTGAATACTACGAGCCCCCGCACCCCAGCAATGACTGAACAAAACTTTGCTGCCACGGAGCAGTTGAATTTCCATTGATCCAGGACACAGCTTGTCTTTCTGAGGTATCTAAATGCATTTGGTTTCAGACCACAGTCAGTAACTGTGGTGTTGTGCGCAGCATCTAGCAGATTCGAGTCCTCAGCCACCCGATGTGTGTAACCAGAGAGGAGCTACTGTTTCACGGATGGCAGAGAAATCTATGGGGTCCAGAGCCTGTCTACCTTCCAAGTTCAAAGAAAGACGTCTCAGTTTTCATTTCCAATACATATAACCACACAAAAAGGCATCTTGCAGATTCCCCTGAAAGTCGCCCGTGCCCAAGACTAGAAATGCTAAATCAAGGTACGTGCTGTGGATGAAATTACCATCAGAAGATTTCTAGCACATTGTTTCTAGTTGAAAACAGAATAAATGAGTTACCTGGGCCGGGGTGGAAGCACAGCGGGGCGGTGCAGGGGCCAGGAGGAGCAGTGCTGTGCGGCTCTGCACTGACCTCTGCTGCCTGACGGGGGGTAAAATTACCCCAGGCAGCTCCGAGGTGGCTCAGGCTGGGACTGTGTCCCTTCAGATGGGTCGTGTGGTTTTTTAAATGACTCTCCAGCTTGTACCCCACTTACTGCACATCGGTTCTCACTGCAAAATGGTGTCAGAGCACACAAGTTGGACTGTTTTTTTGCTGAAACTCAAGGAGGAAGCTTTTTTTACAGCATCACACCAGCCACCCACAGGTGTGCAAGCCTCGAGCCTGAGCAGATCCTCCCTGAACAGGGCTGCTGCAGCTCCTGGCTTCTTGGCCCCAACTGTTTCACCACACAGACGCTCTCCCATTGTGCTTCAGTGGCTGCCAATGTAGACAGTTGCAGGCATCTACAGGGATTTTGGTGGGGAGAGTGGGGGTTTCTGTGCCCAGACCTGCACTCTGAAAATGCCTTCGCTCGGCTGTCATATAAACCCAGGGGTGGCTGAACTCCAGAATGATGCTATGATCCAAATGCTACCCAAGAGCTTTACCATTTTTTTATAGCTGTTTGTATACATTAACACTTCAGGAACAAGAAGATTTACCTATCCATAACAGCAACTAACAAGTGCCTGAAGTTCTGGAAATGAAGCATTACCCATCTTTGCTTTTTTTGAGGGCTTTAAGTTGGTAGGAGGTCTCAGAAAGTGTCTCACAGAGTCCAAGTGTGTGAGAGCAGTATTGGCTGTCTTCTTATGAATCCCAGAGGAATCTTAGAACCGTAGAATAGTTTGAGTTGGAAGGGACCTTTAAAGGTCATCTAGTCTAACCTCCCCTGCAATGAGCAGGGACATCTTCAATTAGATCAGGTTGCTCAGAGTCCTATTCAACCTGACCTTAAATGTTCCTAGGGATGGGGCATCTACCACCTCTCTGCGCAACCTGTTCCAGTGTTTCACCACCTCACCATAAAAAATTTCTTCCTTATGCCTAGTCTGAATCTACCCTGTTTTACTTCAAAATCATTACCCCTTGTCCTATTGCTACAGGCCCTACTAAAACATCTGTCCCCATCATTCTTATAATCCTTTTTAGGTACTGAAAGGCCACAGTACTCCATCTCCTTCTCTTCTCCAGGCTAAATAATCCCAACTCTCTCAGCCTTCCCTTACAGGAGAGATGTTCGATCCCTCTGGTTATTTTTATACTCAGGACCTTCAGATTATGAGACTGACAAATTTCACATAATCTTGACACCTCTCAAAGATGTGCAAGTCTTCAAGATACTCCTGCCCACCTCCAGGCCCTCTTCAGAAAGCAGATAATTATGTACAGCCTTTCAAAAAAGACACATCTGCCGTTATTTTGCTGATCAGAAAAAGCCAAGAAGGTCCTCCTTTCAGCCCTCTCCTTGCCTGCTGTCAGGAGCGTTTGCCCATCACGTCAGATTTAGGCATTTGTTTTCCTCCTGAGCTTGCAACTGCCTGATGCCTGTAAGAGATTCCTGACAGTCACACCATGCACTGCTCATAGACTCAACTGCCTCAGCCATGGGACAAGTACTGTACAGAAAGAAATGCAAAATGTATGGGGATAGCAACGCACTGCTTAGCACACCTACTTAGGTGGATATGGCAGCTTTTGGCCTCTTTCTTTTGGTCTGGTTTTATATTTGATGCATGTTTGCAGAGAGCAAGGATCAGAGCTCGTTGCTCCCTGTACCTCTTAGCTACAGAGTGAATCTGTATTTTTTTTTTCCTCCAGACTCCTGTAAAAGAGCTATAAAAAAGGCTCCCACCTAGTTTAGAAGATAGGGCACTATCTAAACTTCTGATAGTTTAGAAGACAGAGCACAGTCCTGGAAGAGGAAGGTTGACCAGTTTTTCAAGCTGAAGATGTGATGTCTTCCCTTTCCTGAGTGAGTACTTTAAGCCGTCATGTAAGAAGGAACAAGTGGGGTGACTGGGTGGACCACACTATTGCACCATTCCCTTCTCTATCTCTGGCCACGCATTAAGAGCAAAGAAAGCATCTTGCTTGTTTCTTTCAAAGAAATGCACTTTCAAATAATGGAGGGCACATGGTTCGTACTGCACAATGATATGAGTGAGGTAGTTGTATGGGACCTTGCTTCAACTTGCCTTTGTCCTTAAAGTTCTCCCAAACTTGCTGGCTCAGCCTGCTCAGCACCTGTTTTGAAATACATCCTGCATTTGCCAGCGTGCCTTCCGGGGGGAGACATCTCTCAGGGGTCTATCTAGCATTGCAACAACTGATTTTTGAACACTTAGGCTAACCATTGATCCCCTTTCCTGATTCCCACTATCACCTGAAACTTCACGTCTGCAGGAGCATGAGTGTCCAGGGACTGTGTAGAAGAAAGAAGACAGAGTACAAGTGAGAGAGAGTTGACCTTGAAACCTACATTCCCTTTTGTGAAGACTTGTGTGAGAAGACACTCCTCCTGACTAGAGATCGGTGGTCCACTCTGGTTAAGCCCTGCGTGTCCGGACTGCTGTGCTTTGCTGTCACAGGGAGAGCTCTGGTGTCGAGCGGCAAAGCAGTAACAGTGCTTTACTTCTGGGAACCACTCGTGGTGCAGCTCGGTGCACCAACTTCAAGGAACAAAGGATCAGATGAATTGGGGATTAAAAAAAAAAAATTAAAAAAAAAAAATCACAGCATGTCTTAACCAAAAATATATATTATTCACAATCTCCAAGAATAATTTATAACTAACAGAATGTAGTGTGTTATTTTGTTACCCATTGCTTTAAATGTGGATGGATTCTTAAAACTGAAACTGTTAACATATTTTTAAAATAAATCTTAATTAGGAGAAAAACTGGATCATCTGGACTTCTCTGAAGCAGGTAAAGTAAAACACTTTTTATTTCAAGAAATAGTGCTTCTAGACTTTCCCGAAGCCAGAATTGTTCTATAAAAGTATCACAGAAATATTATACAAGATTTAAAAACACAGTCTGTATCCTAGTAACTTAAAACCTATGTACAAAGAGCATCATTCATGACCATAAATACGTTTTTCTATCAATCAGCCCATGACACATACATCAGATAAGGAGCTAGTAATTTTAACATATGTACAGAGTCCATCAGAAAGACTGCTTCTTAAAATTATTAAAATCCTACTAAAAGAATTTCCTTTTAAAAAAGTTTCAACTTAAAATACAATGCAATGAATGTAAGTTTAACCTGCAGTGCTTGCAATAGCCAGAAAATACTCACTACACTAAATAACATGTAACAGATAGGAAACACACCTGTGAACTGGACACTGGAATTACATCTGTTTGAGGTAATTCTCTTTTGTTGTTGTTGTGCTAATTATTTAGAAATTTATAAAAAAGCAAGGGAAGATATTAAGTTTCGAGTAATACAGATTTTCAAAGTCATTTTTGTATTATACTTTATAAAATTTAATGTTTGGTAAAGTTCAAGAAAAATTTAGAATACAACATTATCTAAACTACTATTTTTTACCTCATGTGCCTTTTGTATCTAAAATAATGTAAATCTAACATGATTTTATCATTCCCTTTAATGCCTGTTCAAAACAAAAAGAATTTAAGTCTCAAAATGATAATAATGCTTTCAAGATATTGCTCAGGATAATAAAAATCAGATGTGATGACAAAAGCATATACGTATTGATGTAAACCTTTCTACCAGTATCAGGAAAAAAAAAAAAAGTCAAAAAACCTCATGGATTTTTAATACTGACAACATCAACATACAGGGAAACAATCCAATATAAACAAATCCTCCTACAGTTAACAATCATTAGCCATACCTTTCTGAGAGTAAACTTAATTAAATCAAAATAACAAAAACATGCAATATTTTTGCTAAAATAATATTCAAGGAGTCTGTTTCCACAGTCCATGCTGTTTACCTCTTTCCTGTCAATCTATTTATTGGTTTCACAATTACATGAGACAATGAGCAAACCAAGAACACGTAAGGTATGGGATTCGTAAATGGTATGGCATACAGATATTCAAAGTGCATTTTACTTAAAAGCGTGACATTAGGAACTTCCAGTGGTTAAAATAATTTATGAAAAAGACATTATGCAGACAGATTGGGTGGACTGAAACATTCATTCATGGTGGAGTCATTTGGAATTAGAGAAAGTAACTCAAACATCCTCTTCAAAGGACTAATTTTTAACTTTTGGAGAATGTGCTACTGCATTTGAAAGTTAACACTGTTTCTTTTCATTAAAAAACTGGAAATCTTGCTTCCCAGTGGGGAGAATTACTGTGAAAATATGTGCGTGTGAATAAAAAAAAAATGCACACAGACAAATACTGAACTGGGCTCAATTTAGCTGCAAGATGTATCTACAATAAACATGGAATGTCAGTTGTTATGATTACCTTTATTAGTTTGCTAATAAGAAAAAGGGGAACTTATTTAATGGTTTACAGCTTGATCTACTCCAAGGAGAGTGGAGCTGAGGCACTGCCCTCTACATTTAGGATTTGTGAAGTTTCCCCTGCAAGACTCTGTTCCGTTTTTTCTAAGAAAGGTCCTGTTTTCTGGGTACCGATAGATGAATCCCTAATGGATACATTTACAGCCTGATGGACAAGGGGTTCATCAGACCTCATGGGAAGATAGATTTGATCTTCAAATATTTCTTCCACAGCGTCACTGTCCTGATGAGTGTCCTTTTGAGGAATGCTGATGGGTTGTAGCATGAAGCTATGCCGGGACTCTAACTCTATCAGACCATTTCCACTGAAATCCATATCAAACCGGTCCGATTCTTTATCCTCCATCCATTTTTCAGCTTGATGATTATTTCTCCAGTGTGCGTCATTCAAACTACTTTTCTCAGGAATATCGTTGTTTAATTCAAGTTTCCTCTCCTGACTTAAATTCACTGTGCTCAAAGCGAGGGCTGCAAAGTCCGTTGGCACGATAAGCTGCAACTCTTCTGCAGGCAAGCCGCTCGATTCTTCAGCAGAAGTCATTTCCACCAAGGTAAACGGCGTGGATGATTCGTCCCCGTCCCTGTTGCTTCGAGCAGTGTTAGCCTTGTCCGTTTTATTTTGCTGGTAGTAACTGTTCAGCAGTGCAAACATTCTATCTACATCCTTCAAGTAATTAGTCCAGTCAGCCAGACTAAGTCTATAGTTGTATCTGTATTCATATACACTTTCATTCACACTGTACAAGTCTTCCAGTCCTTGCCAGTCGATGTCGCCAGTGAAACTGGGCAGGTTAGCCTTCCCATCCATCCCATAACTGTCCTCTGTTGAAAGAAAGAATAAAGCCTAATGGTGAACATCAGCTTAAAAGTGCAAGCAAAACTTCCATGTGTGTTTCTACTCCAATTTGCTTGAAAGCACTGCCATTCATAACATATGTGGCTCAAAATGTAAGACACTCCGCATCTTCTGTCATGATATTAATGATTCTGGCCTCAGATTTGTTCACAGCTCCTGTTGAACACACAGCAAGAAGCTCGCCGTCTTCTGCTACATCCTTGGACTGAGTGAAAAAGAGCAAAATCTGGTCTAATGGAGTTTTGTGATGACAGTCAGAGATAAATCTTTCCTCTAATATTTCAAGGCAGGAAAGTTGTTTCAATACATGAAAAATCTATTTGCCTTTCCTGAAAACTCAACCAAAATATGGAAAAAACAAACAATGGTTAAGTATAGAAGATGGGACTGACTCTGAAAGCCATTAGTGACCTGAACTTCAACAACGCCCACAGGAATTTGGTGTCTGGGTAGCTTGAGACATATGGTCGACAAACCAACCAGCTACATTTTATTTAATAAATGATAGCCATGGGTAGTATTTTATTTACTTTGTAAACATGAACCTTAATTTACATCGAGCAATAATGAGAAATAAAGGCTGTAAAAACTTGGTGTGAATTAATTTATAGGACTGCACCACTCTGTAAAATAGTGTTAAAATATACATAGATATAGAATCTCCTACAGGTTTTAATTTTTTTTATTAAAAACCAAAGCTTTCAAAGAAAATGTCAGTTTGAATAAAGGGCATACATATGAGTCTGTAAGTAGCAACGGGGCTGCATTTTATATTGATCACAGCCAGAAAAAGCAAAGACATGAAGGAAACCCATTTCCAAAAGATTTCTAAAAGTCACTACCGTGACTATAGTGACCCAGATTATCAAATGTAGTGTGAAATTTTTATATTGACAAGTAGCGCTGAACATCACTAGTTCATTTAACTCACTGTGCAGACTGTCTTCAGTTCAAAGGTTTTAGCAACAAAGTGGATGACACGGAAAAACTAATCAGGTAATGCAAAAACCTGTCAGGGAAAGTGGCAAATTTGTCCTTACAAATGATGTTGTAGGCAATATTCAGTAATTAGTTCACTGAGATGACATTATTTTTCTGAAAATTGTACAGGCAGGTAGGCCAGTAGTAATTACCTTGGAAGTTCAAGTGGCTATAGTCTAACAGTGTGAACTATTTATCTGTATTGAGCCCTTCATCCTACAGTGGGTTCTTGGCATCTCCATTAATTTCTTTGCATTTTAACTTGACCTTTCTTGTTGTTCAAGTAAAACAGAATATACAACTTGTATCTATCATATCTTATGTTCTTTGCTTCTTTACTAGCTTGGGATTTCACAGTGGCAAGAATTTCTCCAATATTTAGTCCATCATATGGAAACTCAAAAAAATACCATTATGGTCAGAAAAAAACCTCGAGATTTTCTTATGATGAGTTGCCTTATTCTGTTCCCACCAAAGGGAGACCTTTTTCCTTACTTGTAAACACCTCAATCTTTGATCTTACTTGATATTTCTTCACTTAATACAACAGCTGTAAATATTTTACAACACAGAATTTAAACATCTTATTTTTTTTAAAGCAAGTTCTAGAAATATTTTTTTTGCAAACACTTGGCAAACTCCCTGTTACAGGAAGCGCCACAAGGTTTTTGGATTTGGTAGGACAGCTATGACAGAGCATCTTCTTTCTTTCTTTTCCTGAAGTAGACAAGAGAAATGAAATCATGGTATGACCACATGAGCGCCATCTTCATAAGTCAAATTATGGATAATTTGTTTCCTGAAACAAAAAATAATTAAATACTGCAGAGGTTTCAAGAAAGAAGTCTTATTATTCCAGTGCTTAGAGGCATAAAGAGCCCTAGAAAACATAATAGGAAGGGATGCATTTTTGAGGAATTTAGTCACCAAACTCTCTAAGATATTAGCCACACTGCAAATGCAACAATATTTAAATTTTGCTCTGTTATTATTTGTATTGGAAGTTTCTTTTTTTTTTTTTTCCTTTTCTTTGCCAAATCAGAGCCTGTATAGGAAAAAAACCTGCTGTAGGAACAGTCAGTGGCCAAAGTGGTTTAGTATGTGATGGCAGAAACTGAAACCAGAATGCTGCTGTTTGATCAGTAACAGGTTTGGAGATGGACCAGGGCAGTGGGGGGCAAAGCAGGGGCCATACAGGTAGCTTTGGGTCCCGAGGAGCCTCTCCTGCCTATCCCAGGCAGTGGGACAAGGGGTTGAGCTGGGCAAGCCGGGGTGGCAGGGTGGGCAGCAGGTCTGGGGGCTGGTGAGGGGAAGCAGGCTTTCCATCAGGCTCAGCAGCAGGGCAATGGGGCTGTGCTGCACAGAAGTAAAATCAACAAGGAGTTTGCTGTATTCCTACAAAACAGCTCAAAGACTGGGTCAGAGCTACATAGTCCTTCATGCTGGATCTATTTTTTTCCCCTTTAAATGTGGCACTGTTTCTGCAGTCTCAGAGGAGTTTCACAGCTGGAAAGGCACTGGGAATTGTTCCACAATCTTCATGTCAAGCAGAAAAAAAACCTTGTTTAAAATTGCATTCATACACATTGAACAAATAGGAAAGCAAAGTCCTAAGGTCCTAGAGCTGACTGTTTGTTTGACCAAGCAAGTCACCTCACACCTTAATTCCACAACTTAGCAGTAGGCATGAAAAGTTTCCCACTGAAATTGAAGTATACAAGGGGAAGGAGAGAGAAAAGAAAAGGTTTTTCCCTGTAAGAAATCTCATTACAAATAGGTGTGAAATGAGAAAGTGCAGATGAGTTGCATTTGAGTAACAGCATGGCAGTGGTTTCCTTGATCAATATTTTGGAATCTCTCAGCTTCTTCTCATAAACCCAGAAAAGAGAAAATTGTTGCTAACTGTTCATAGTAATACATCTTCCAATTTTTTAAAATCAAGCATTAGCTAACCTTCACTCTCTAATTATCATAACCCAGAGTCCCAGGATGCCATCTGTGGCTGCATTCTCTCAAAACTAATAAGACATTTAGATATATCTCCACTGAGACTAAAGACAAGTAGGTAGAGTCATCTCCTCGGTGGCTTTGCAAAACCTCAGACAAGCAGGAGAAGGGACAGTGCAATATCCCACATACTGTTATCATCCATGTCTGCAGAGTGATGTTCTGTCCATCAAAGGATACAGGTGACACCTGTTCTTTCCTGATGGAGCTCTCTCCCTATGTGTTAAGCAAACAGCACTATCCTAACTGTTTCCATACAGACTTGTATATTGTACTTGCAACACAGGTAGTGATGTACTAACTCAGGATGTTTCCAGCTGGAAACATCTGACTGGAGAAACTACATGGTCTGAAGGAAGCCCAAGAGGTGGTTTAGCAGCATGGGGCTTTTCCTTTCGTATTCTGTTGGTTCCTCTGCAGGCATCAAAAAAAGCATACTTTAAGAGAACCTTTTAATGATTCCTGAGAAATGTTTTCTGTTCATTTAAAAAAATTTTGTTTTAGAAAAAATCTAGCAATTTCCACCAGGATGGGGCTTGAACCGAAATGTTGAACTTGAGCATCTGTGTATACCGAGAAACTGGGTGGCTGGAATATAATGGCACAGAGTGATGTCACTTCTTTATACTATACCTGCTCTTTATCCCTGGAGCAGAATGTTTACTGACTTGGTACCAGAAGCTAGAATGTTTTGATTACTAAACAATGTAGCAAGATATAATTGAAAGATTAATCCCGTGTGCTCTACTATTTCATGCAATCCTACAATTCAAAAATGCCATTTCTGTTAGATCTGTAGTTAAAATGAGGAATGCTTCGAAGGATGTCTTCTAATGAAAGAAGCATAAAGCATAATTACAGGGATTACTTTCTATCATTGTAGTAACCTACAGTTACCAGACTGTAACGAGCAATGCAAACAACTGGGATATAACCAAACAAAAGCCTATCATTTTCCTAGATCCCAAAACTACTCAAGTGAGAAAAAACAAAATTGGCTGCAAGGAAAAATTAGCTGCTTAAATTGGAGATATATAAAACATTGCAAAACATTATCTTAATTGTTCCCTGGCTGCTGGGAGCTAAGGGCCAATTTCTTTTCAGAAGACCCTGTGAAAAGAAGTTTTGTATAGACTTGTATGCTCCTTCGACCCAGTTTACATCTCAGGCAAATAATCCATATCAGGAGCTGCTCCACCCAAGTGCATGGAGTTGAAAATGTATAGAACTGATATACCATGAGAAGATATGAAGTCTAAATATGACACTTGACAGGCTTCTTCTAATCTGTTTTTTCCGCTGAGTACAAGTATTGCTAACTGAAGAGCAAATGCAGTACTGATAAAACCTGAGTTTTTTCAGTCTCTTCAGGCTTTTGCTTTGTGTTTGACAGGTTCCTCCACCAGGAGGAACTGGGCTCTGCATGATAAACATATAGGTATGATAAATACACTTGCAAACAGATAAATACACTTGCAAACAGCAGTCTTTCATGCATTCCTCAGGTTCAAGCATTAGGTATAAAAAACCCTCACCTAGTGCCCTTCCTCGGCTCAGATATTACAACCTTTTTAAGAAATTTTTTTTCATGCGTGTGTGATCTGGTCTGAAAGCATCGTTCCCCGGCCCAAAGGAGCCTCATCTTTCTGTCACACTTACTGAACTGTCTCCTTCTGGCTTCTGAGCTCACATTGAGCACTGCTTTTGCTTAAAGCAGCATCTGTCAACATTTTCTGAAGCCAGTGAGAAGATTTTACTTTCCTTCCCTAGGTTTGATTAGGCTCTTTGGATACATATACCTCAGAAAATTTGTTTCACGTTTAAAAAGCAGATGTATGGACTTCCTAAGTAAAACCAGGAAAAAACTCCAACCCATCCAAAATGAACCCAACAACAGGAAAACAACCCAAAAAAAAGGTGATTCTTTTTGTGTCATTTTCCCTGTGTAAACATCTAAGAAATACAGGCACGAAATATGAACTGTATGAAGTCTCGCTACAACAATGAGCTAGGTTAAATGCAGAATGGTAGATCTAAAAAACAATGGCCAAGTTCAGTGTAGAGTAGTTAGAAAATGCATGCATCAAAAGCTATGCTGTGTGCAACATGGCAGGATACAGACATTAGTCGAAATGGACTGGGGTCATGCAATTATTTGGAAAGAAGCTGCTGAGGAGAATAAAAAAGTGTGGATACCTGTGTGGATCATAGCTTCCTCCATCTTTATTTCCTGATATAGGAAAATACAAGAGTAACTTTTGTTAGTGTTTAGAACTTGTAAAACCATTCACAATGTAGTTTTCCATGCACAGCATCTAATTCCTAAAAAGAAATGTACTGTGTTAAATAAAGACAGAGCTGCAGTCCAACAAAGATTTCCTGGAAGTTTTGTATAAAAGAACTGAAAAACCACAGCTTTTCAAAAATAATAAAAGCCCCAAACAATTAGATATTGTAAAAAAGAGAAACATTTGCAGCTGAAGAAAGAGATACAAAGATGCAACACCACAAATTATGTAGAAGGGAATATTCCTGTTAAAAAAAAAATAATCACAGTATTCAATCAATCAAATTTAAGTGCAATGAATTCCAGAGTTATGAAGTGTAAATACCAGCTATTTTTGTACTCAGAGACTCTTCTAAAGAAATACTGCTTTCCTCAAAAATGGAGGATACTACTGCTGATTAGAAGTTTGCAATATTAAGTCTCAGTTGTGGTGTAGAGCCTGAAGTTGTTCATATAGGCAGACAGTAATTGGAAATAAACACAGGATTTAATACCTCACCTGCTACTGGGAGGCAAAAACTAACCAAATAAACCCTGCAACAGAGAAAAGAGTTGTAACTATGAAGAACTGCTTGTGCTTGTTATCGATTAGCTCAAATTACATGATAACCTTTCTGCAGCATTTCTGTCAAATGTGGTTGTTTGCCATCAATATCTGCCTAGAATAACCTGTGCAAACTTGCAAAAAAGCTTCCTGGTCACGCAGTTCCGCAAGATGGTGTATGTGGATCATTCCAAACTATTCAGGAGATTCATGGATACATGTAGTACTTAAGCAGATTTAAAAAAAAAAAATAAAAAGGAATAAAATGGAAATATACACTTCTATTTTTCTTGTACCTGTTTCAAGTCCCTTTGGTCTCGGATTGCACTGCTTATAACCTTGACAGCTTCGCAGTTCCATTAGCTGTATGTGTAACTGATTCAAAATGCCTCTTTCCACTGTATGTACTGTATTTGTCAGCTGAGAAAAAGAGGAATGGAGAGGAAAAATATTTGTTAACAGAAATAAAAATAAACTAGACGAGTTTGGTGAACAACATTTTGTAACAGGGAAAGGGGTTTACCTGATAGGGATCAGTGTTCATATCAAAATATTCCAAGAAGCCAGTCGCAAACTCACAAAAGAGAAAATTGTGGGTGTCATTAACTGTTCGCAAACACCAGTAAGTGTTGTTATTTGAGCTTGTGCAAGCACAGAAAGAGCCCACTGTAATTAAAGAAACAAGTTATTAGATTTCAGTGAAAAATAATATGCTTTTTTCTTCTGCTAGTGAAACTTCTATAGGTTTTCATGTACTTAAATTCTAGACCAATTTAAAAAAAAAATCTTCTATTTGAATAATGTTAGATTCAAATCTAAAACAGAATAAATGTTGCTAATACATAATTTTCACAAACATACAGTTAACGAAAGCAGAAGATAGTGAATCCTACAGTTAATGAGACATATTCTGTTCTGAATTATATATAGTTTATTGGGATTGAGCAGAATTCAGACTTCAGAAAAAAACCAAACACAAATCCCAATCCTTAAGATTTATATATAGATTCATTGGAATTGCTTACTATATATAAGGATACTATTTCCTCCAACAGCATATAACGTTAATCTAGTAGACCCTCTGAGATTCAAGTACAACAGAAAATGACAGAATTGTGAGCACTACAGAGGAAGGTCAGATGATTGCTAGTTGATCTGAAAGTGAGATGGAAATGACACAGCAGTCAGGAAAGTGCGAGGCAGTGTATGGGATGAGGCACGTGAGAGGGATTAGGCAACGAAGAGGTGAGTTTGCAAGCAGGGAGCTTGCCTGGCACCTTGAATGTCGGGAAGATGGAAGAAGCAAGGTGGGAAGGAAGACCAATGGATGATCCTATGCCTCATTTTAAGTGGCTCTGCCTTACTGGCTTGAGATTTCCACTTAACTATTATTTTGAACTGCAATCCCTCATTTCATTTATTTGATATACAAATAAGAACAACATCGAATCATTCAGTCAGGCCTTTGCAGGACAATCCCAAGCAGCGTAACTGGATTACATTTTGTTCTCACTTTTCAACCTGGGGAAACCTAGAGTGGGATTCCACTCCCAACTGAAGATACCTGGATCCAGGTGTAACAGCAGCCATAGAGGTGACCTGGGTATATCTTGTTTATAATCTTGTTCTGCCAGCAGAAAAGGCTCTAAGACAGGTAGCTCTCTTAATTTTCAAACAAACTGCTGAGAAAGTTTTGCTGTAGAAGAATGTCTCTTTAATTTCTATAATAAAATATTAATATTTCCTTAGATTTTTATTTAGATTTGTTATTAGTACTGTGATTAGCTGTAACAGTATCAATGTTTTGAACAAACTTCATAAAAATAGTAATGATATTGGACCTTTTTATCTGTGTAATGTGAATCAATACATTAGCTCTTCTTTAAGTGCCTGTGTCAAAGGGACATTTTTTTAACCCCGTGACTGTTGCTGGAGCATTACCAGAATGCACAGCAATATGAGAATGCTTTTCATAACTGTTTGTTACTCCACAGTTAAAAAGTAATAAGCCAATTTAATTGTTGTCTTTAAAACAAAAATTATGCCTATGACTACTTTAGTAACATCTTAAAATGTAAAAAGTGTATTAGCAGAAGTTCTAGTGCAATCAGAACAGATTACCACTAGGAGACAACATCTTTCTCCAAATGAAAAATTGCTCTTAGCAAATTTTCTGCTTGGAGTCAAATATGTTGCAACTTAATCATCATTTGATCTTGAAGTTTTTGAAAGTAAAGTTTTCAATCACTTTTCTTCCTCTGCCACCAAAGATGAGTGTCGTGGTTTTACCCCAGCCGGCAG